TCGGTCGTTACTGATCGTCTCGGCCCGAGCTGTGCTCGAACCGTGAGGGAGCTCTGAGGATTGGAAACTGAACGGTGAAATTGGAAGGAATTGAGTTTGGTTTTTCCGTAGGAACTGAGTAATGGAGTTGCTTTTCTCTTTTCAGGTATTGATTTTAAAATAAGGACGATAGAGCTCGATGGGAAGAGGATCAAGCTGCAGATCTGGTGAGGCTCCCGTGCTGCGGAGGGTGTGGGGTCAGGGATGGGTGTCGGGGGGTGTTGGTGTTCCAGCTGTGCTGTGTGGTTGGTTGGGGTGTCCTAGAGGCTAACAGACACTTTTGATGTGCCTCGGGGCTGGTTCGAGTTAAAGGATTTCAGCCTTTTGGTGGGCTGAGCTCAGGGGTGGTGCTGGAGGTTGTTTGTGTGAGCCACAGGTCTTGTCTGTTGCAGGGACACGGCTGGGCAGGAGCGATTCAGGACCATCACCACTGCCTACTACAGGGGAGCCATGGTAGGAACCCTGCAGAGATCCTGTGCTAACCCACCCCCCGAGGCCAGCTCGGCTGGGGCTGATGTGAACACACACAACTGAGCTGCTCCCTGTGCCTGGCAGCACACCCTGAGCTGTGCTGGGCTGATATGGAGCTCCAGGAGCAGCTTCTTCCCTGTTCCACTCTATAAATACATGTCCTGAACACCGTATCTCACTGCCATTAGCTGTGGTAAAAATAGGTGTTGCTGTTGCTCTTTTCTGCTTCAAAGAGCTTTTCTCCTTCTCACTTTTAGGGCATCATGTTGGTGTATGACATCACCAACGAAAAGTCTTTTGAAAACATTCGGAACTGGGTCAGGAATATTGAAGAGGTAATTTCTCTCTCTACAGACTATTAAAGGTGCTGCTTCTTCCTCTGAAAGTGGTTGAAGCTTTAATTGCTTCTGAAGTGTTTCGCTTGCTTTGAATTCATGTGCTGAAGGGTGTTTGGAATATAAATGGGATGGAAATGAGTAATAACTCCTGGAATGCCTTGTCTGACAGCGATTTGCTGTGGGGGCTGTGGCCCTTGTAGTGATGAGGGAACCTAATCACAGAATCATGGAATGTTAAGGGGTTGGGATGGAGTTTAGGGATCATTCAGTCCCAACCCCCTGCCCTGGGCAGGGCCATCTCCCACCAGAGCAGCTTGCTCAAGGTTTTATCCAACCTGGAATGAACACTGCCAGGGTTGGGGCAGCCACAGCCTCCCTGGGCAACCTGTGCCAGTTTCCTGCCATGACAAGTGATCCAAGAGCTGCTGTCATGCAGGACACTCTGGGCTGCTGGGATGAGTGCTTAGGGGAGCCTGGAAATCTGTGGGAGATGCTCAGCACCAGCATCTCCACATTGGGTACTCAACTGGTGCCTCCTGTGCCTGACAGTGTCTGTGCTCTGTCTGTCCCAGCACGCCTCTCCAGACGTGGAAAAAATGATCCTGGGGAACAAATGCGATGCAAACGACAAAAGACAAGTTTCTAGAGAGCAGGGGGAGAAGGTAAGTGCTGTAGCTTTGATGTGCTTCAGCTTGGAGTTTTCAGAGTCTGAAGCTGCACTGTTGCTGTCTGCACACTGATGTGACACTGCAGTGCAGGGAGTGAACGTTCCCCAAGGTGCCATGGCAATGCATTTCCCCACTGCGAGACACAGCTGAGCCTGTGCTAAGGGTTTATTTGTTGATTCTCTGTCAGGTGCAAAGCAGTGAGATGGATTTTTGTCAGAAAAAGGGTACTAGAGTTTGACAGAGAGAAAATGCCTCTCTTTGGCTGAAAGCCACCGAGACAGGGGATTGGGTTTTGTGGTGTCAGATGTTACGTGGTCAAGGCAGAGAAGGTGCAGCTGCACGCTAGAGGTTACAAGGCTGACAAGGTATGTGTGCCAGAAAGGAAAGAGAAAGCAGGTTAAAACATGAGCAGTAACAGAGCAGAGCAAATCCATTGAGAACAGATGCCAGGAGCAGTGAGATTTAGTTCCTAATTCTTGCCTGTTGTTGTGCCTGAGTAAATCCCAACTCAGTGAGTCGTGGTGGGGGCAGAGCCTGTGCTTGTGTTTGGAGCTGTTCCTGCAGTCACTCAACTAACATGAAATTTGCTTTTGTTCAGCTTGCTGCAAGTTTTGGGATTAAATTTATGGAGACCAGTGCAAAAGCAAATATAAACATAGAGAATGTAAGTACTGACACCTTTCTCTGAGATTTATCACCTTGTTTGTGTATATAAGCAGTGACAACACTTGTCTGCAATCCGCTTGGATGCAGAACTCTTGTTGGGCACATATCCATGTGTTCCCTGAAGTTGTTGTCTAACCTGTGTTATGCTAATATATGTAAATGAACGTGGTGCTTAGAGCATTCCCCAGGGTGTTAGGGCAAAGGGCACCAGAGCAGCACATGGGGAAACTCAGCTCCTGTCTTTGTGTTCAAGGATGGGATTGATCAAGGACTGTACAAACCCTGGGTGGGGATGCCAGTTTGGCTTTGGGGCTTTTGGTTGTGGAGTTAGAGAAGGAGCATTTAAACATGGAGTGAGGGAAAGAAACCCAAAAACTTGATGTTCCTGAGGAGTTTGATGTGTGCAGAAACTCAGGAAAGCAGCTCCTTGCTGAACCAAACTGCTGGAGTGTATTTTATTTACCCTCTAACACTGAGCTGTTTGATTGTCCCAGGCATTTTTCACTCTTGCAAGAGATATCAAAGCAAAAATGGACAAGAAGTTGGTGAGTAACTGGTTTCATCCACTCTTTAAGTAGTACCAGAAAATATCCAGCCCAAAGCTACATTGCAGGAAGTGTCTCACAGTGCATGAAAACTCTTCTGTGGTTCTGGGAATGTGGTTTTGATTTTGTCAAGCTCTGACCTTGACAAATTGACAACTCTTGGCTTGTAAAGAGTTGTCTCTGCACCCCAAGAATTGGCTGCACTGGGTGAGGGTTTTAAGTAACATCATCTGGTACTTGTTCTATCCAAAGGTGTGTGTTTGTGGAGAAGTTTAGTGATGGTCCTTACTCTTGCAGTCTGAAAATCTTAGCAACCATAGGAATTAGAGGAGGCACATACCAAACTTCAGGGTACAGATTTCATAGGTAAAGAACTGATGTGTCGAGCTAATCTTTGCAAAGATTCTGAGCAGTGTTTGGGTTATCTTTTTACAACAAATAAACACATCAATGTCGGTTTGTTCCTTAGGAAATACAAACCTAACAAAGGTTCCTCCTGCTCTTACTGAGCTTCCACCTTTGTGTGAGCAGACATAAGCTGATAGAGAGATATTTTGGGTCTCACCTGCAACTCCTAAGCATTTCAGCAAGTGCCAGACATGCCCTGAAATCTCTGTGTTTGAGTCTCAGCTGTCTCTGAGTTTACAGAAGAAGCAGAGCTGCAGTATGACCTAGTTGATGCCTAGAGCTGCAGATGCAGTTCTCTAACATCTTGTCATGGCTGGTGTCAGACCCAGGGAATCCTCCTGTTGATTCTAGGAGAGGTTTTTGTGTGTACCTTGGCTGAACAGAGTGAGCAGATGAATGTGGATGGGAGAAGCTGTTTAGTATAAATAAGTAACTGCATATTCTTTGCATCTTCAGGAAGGCAATAGCCCACAAGGCAGCAACCAGGGAGTCAAAATCACACCAGACCAGCAAAAGAAAAGCAGCTTTTTCCGATGTGTTCTTCTGTGAGGGACATGGCCTTAACCTGAGCTGGACTGTGCCTGTGCTGAGTGAGGTTTCCTCTGTCTGTGGACTTAGCATTCCCAACATACCTTGTCACTCTGTGACCATCTGAATAACAAATGGTTTATTTTGGTAATTGACTCTTCGGTTCCGGAGACAGAACAAGTTTATTTTTGTCAGATTGCCACTGGGCATGTGCATTGTCTTAGCAGAGGGAGAAATCACACCTGACTGACCTGGATGCAGCACCTTTGCTGACAGACCTGTGTTCCTGTCTGCCACGGATCCAGCTGAGAAAGGTGAAGTTGTGATCAAAACAAGGAACTGGAATGCCAATGGGAATCAAGAGCAGGTGTGTGTGCATGGAACATGTGCATATCCAGGTCTGGAGCTGCACATGGAGCAGAACATCAGTGCACCGAGGCAGCAGTGCAGGCTGGTGCCTTCTCAGAAGGCAGGAGGGAGCTTCCTGCAGCTCCCCCTCTGTGCTACTGCAGAGAGACTCCTGTAGCTGCCTGTCCCTTCCTCACTTGGGTTACTCTAGACAATCCACAAGTTCAATTGAAGTTTAAATCCTCCTCGAAGGAATCTATTTTTTTAAAAAACCAAAGTGTGCTGTAAATATAATAAATCCTTACCATCAGGAACTTACCCAGGTTAGACATGACTGTGCTTCATTAAGTTGCTCCAGGTGTTTGGCTGTGTTTGAGAGGAGCTGATGATCTGTCATCTGTTCTTGGAGAACCAGGCAAGGACACTCACACAGCATTTGTCACCTACAGTGAGTGGCTTTTCCCTCTCCAGCTGGGAAGGACTCCATGGCAGAGGAGCTAGTTTTAGGTTGTGACCAGGAAATGTCCTGCACTGCTCCCTGTCGTGTGTTCCCACACACACTTGCTCACCCATGCAAACACCTCCTGCAAACAGACTGTCCAGGCTGGGCCTTGCCTTGCTGGGCACTGAGCACTGCAGAGCTGAGCAGCAACAACCTGTGCATGGTGTGTGTCAGTGCCAGTGACATCCAGCCCTGATGGAAACGTGAGTGTGGTCATTCCCACAAACACAGCCCATGGTGTTCCAGTGGGTGAGGTGCAGGAGCCAAGCTCAGCTCCTTGGGGGGATGGCTCAAGTTGTGTCAGGCTGGCAGAAGGAGCCAGTAAGAGCATCTGCTGTCAAGTGATTGCAGTGTGGTGTGATCCCAGTGAACACAGCAGCTGTGTCCTGCAGCTCCTGGGGCTGTAACATGCTTTGTTCACATCAACAACTGCACTTAAGGGTAAAATTAAAGTTGATGCTAAAGTTTAATGGATTTACTCACCAGTTTTGTATTCTTCAAGTCTGTGGTGTTAAACTCTGGCCTGGGAGTAGCACTGGGAGGTGTTGCTGTAGTTAAAGATATCTCAGACTCCTAACTAAGCATTACTAATTTCAGCATGCAGTTGGGTTCA